GCTGCGCCACCAGGGAGGGCCTTATGTTAGTCTTTTAAAGTCAAATTCTTCTTGTATTTTACTTACACACTTGGTACTTTTCTGGGTAAGTTAAATTAAAAGACATGAGGTCTTATAAAAGAATAATCAGCAAAGGCTGACTCAAAAGATAGCTTATTGTTTTGGTCAAGACCCTTTGCCTAACAAAAACCAACTCTAGCTTGCCTTACCAAAGTGAACTTTTGGGCTATAGGATTGTCTCAAAGACTCCAAAAGAGAAATGCAGTTGTTTTTTTTTTTTAAGAACTGGGGTACAGGCCAGAGGCTCAGGGACGGCGAGAGGCTTCACCAGAGACAGAGTGGGGAGCAGAACAGGAGGCTAGGACATTTTACTAATCCATACAGAAAGTTGAACATTTGAGGAATATTGAAGAAAATTGCTCAGGTATAAGTGTTGCTATATTTACCTGACATATTTCTTAACAGTGGGTTGCCCTATTAGGCTAAATAATGGCTTTGTATTTTTTTTTTAAGATTTATTTATTTGTGCATACTGAACTGGGGTACAGAGGTGCAGGGGCGGTGAGAGGATTCACCAGAGACAGAGTGGGGAGCAGAACAGGCCAACTGAAGGAGGAGGGGAACAGCGGGTGGTTCAGGAGAAGTCTTCTGTGCCATGTGGATCCCCTTTGGGGCGGGAGATCGAACTCATGCTGAAGTGGCTTTAGCTTCTTAGTGCTGTGCTTTTAACCTTCTGAGCCACCAGGGAGGGCCCCTCTCTTGTAACATATTTTAATGGGAGGGCTTGTAGAAGAGAGGAGCAGGAAATTAGGGTGATGTTTCAGAAAGGAAAGAGAAGTACCATGAATGATAAATCATCACTGGATTGATGTTAATTAGGTATGGCATGTTTCATTCTCCCAGCTTAATGAGTCTAGTAAGGTTCAGATTCAAATTAGCAGTATAGGTGAAAGCTCAAATTGTAGAACAACTTTGGAAAAGAGAATTTCCTCTAGGTCAAGGTCAAAGCTTAAGACATGCACCAAAGAAAAAGTTATACATCTTTTCTTAGATAAGAAAATAATGTGATTTTAGTGCCATTTTTGTTGAGTGCTACTGGATTTGTGAGATAAATTTCCTTTTTTATGGCTTTTATGACAATCTTTTAGTCTTATCAGGTCAGTTAAAAGAGATGGACACATTTGTGAGCTAAATTTCCTCTTTTATGGCTTTTATGACAATCTTTTAGTCTTATCAGGTCAGTTAAAAGAGATGGACACATTCAGCTGATTTTTTATGTTTTGCTCTTTTCCAGAAATCCTGCAGGACGGACAGGACTAGCTGGCCGAGGGCTTTTGGGACGATGGGGCCCAAATCATGCTGCAGACCCCATCATAACCAGGTGGGAGCCAAAAAATACACTTAGTAGCAAAAAGCTAAAATGATTAGAAATACAGACTATAGCCATATGTTTATATACATATAATTGCATACATGTATGCACAAACCACATGGGTGTACATGTTTGCATATAAACATGTACCCATGTGTGTGCACACACATATATACAGACATGAGTATAGACATATACACACATATATACAGACATGAGTATACTCATGTCACCATAATTTCACTTTTATGTGAAATTATGGTGTTGTGCTATAAGTATAAAGCTATAGTATCAATTTGGTTTGATACTGACATTTTCTAAATAAAGTTAACTCAACAGATACTTATTGAACATCTTTTTGTTCTCAAATCAAGTAGGTATTTTACAGATTTAAAGCCCAAGTTTCAGCTTCCTGTCACTGAAGAGCTGTGGATTATTTGTAAGATGGAAAATATGAAATAAGAAAACATGTCAAAGTAAATTGGTGATACTCTAAAGGGTGCTTTAGAAAATTGGAAGATTAAATGTGGAGTGTGTTAATGTATTTTAGCTTTATATATTTTGAATAATATTTATTGGAATTGAGAAATGAAAACACCAGCTTAATTGAAATGGAAGATTCTTGTAGGAGAATACTGGGTGATGAGTTAAACTTAAAAATAACTTTTGTACAATTCTGTTGTGGATAATATTCAATGCCAAAGTTAAGGAATGTGAACTGTTAACAGTTTCTTAACAGAGGAAAGGCTTTTTTTTCTTGAGTCAGACCAATTTGGTAAGCCAAATCATACTGACAATTTCTCTTAGTGAGAATGAATCAGAAAAAGATACGTGAATTTAATGTTTATGTAGATTTAATCATCTCTATATCATCTTTTCAATACCTCTGGAATATTCTGTCATCTCTGGCATGCTTTTAATTGTGTTTACTTTTAGCATTTCTTCATTTGCTTCCTTCTAACATGTAATCATCACTTTCATTCTTTAAACAAGGCAAAGCCACCCAATAGTCTTACTTTTTAATTTGATAGTTTAAGGACCTTAATTTCTTCTAGGAGATTGTTTTTCTCTGAGGTTAAATGATTTTACTTTAACACTGTTTTCAAGTTTTTAGAAGAGGAACCAGTATTTGCCTCATGATATTATCATGCCCTTTCAATTACCTCTCCAAAGGGATCTTTACCCCATCATAAATTTTATTTTTCAACCAACTGTCCATCCACTCATCCATCATCCATGCATCCACACGTCCACACACCCACTGTCCCACCTGGCCACCCATCTGCCATCCTTCTACCTACCTACGCACCTACCTAAAATTCATTCAGACTCTGGTGCATATGAGATGGGAAGAATAATATATTTCTATTAGTGCTTATAAGTGAAATCAAATTAATGTCAGTTTCTTTCAAATTTTGGTAAGACTATTAAAAAAACAAGATTGAAACTTCTTAAGCAGAAATAAAATAAACAATATTTTATTGTTTATAAAATAAAATTAACAATATAATACTTGTACAAGAAGTAGAAAAAGGAGGCCAGTGACTTGAGAGTTAGCTTCTAATTAGTGTATCTTTATGGTGGATCAAGTAGTTACTGGGAGTGTACATTGTGTCTGTTGAGATGTTTTGAAATGGTAGAGTTTTTGAGCTTGACTTTATTGTTTTACAAATAAATGAGCCCACAAAGATCAGAGATAATCCAAAACTATAGAATAGCCTGACAGTGGCAGAATGTAGCTTTTCATTTTTATTATTGGATTAATGTTTTCCTATCTTAGTAAAGCATGTATTGACTAATGAGTTTCTCCAGATAGATGAATATCAGAGGAAATGAAGGGGTGAGAAGATGATGTTGGACAAAGAATAAACAACACTAAGTGAATAGTTTAAAATATTACTCTATTGCAGGCAGTTTGCTAGGTGCTGTTATTAGCTATTCCATTCATTTCTCACAAAACTTCTCAAGGAGGTATTAACTTCTCTACTTTGTAGATCTATTCTATACTAACTTCTCTATTTTATTGAAGACTCAGTAAGGTTAGGTGACTTTCCTCTCTCTTATAGACCTGATATTTGAACTAGAAAATTTGGCTCCCAATACTGTTTCTTTCATACCAGTATTTCACTAATGAGTAAATTATCACCCACTATTCTCCTACAAGAATCTTCCATTTCAATTAAGCTGGTGTTTTCATTTCTCAGTATTCCAATAAGCATCACATAGGTACTTTTAAAGCAAAGATTTGATTTATCTCTTTTACTTTGAAATATTTCCTGGTTCAAAGTAGCATTGCATAGTGAATTTCATAAATATCCTTGTTCATAATCTCCAGATACCTCTCTGAGAGATTTCTTATGTATCACCGTTCATACATTCACATATCTAGTTCTGCTGCTACATTATTAGCTCTTTCAGAGGTGGGATTAGACAATGAATTTGATAGTCAGCCACTGTATAAAGAAATTTGGAAACTCAGATCTAAGCTTGTTTATTTATTGAGTTTCATGTAGACTGATGATTAGCTCAGACTTTCTTTTTTGGTTTAATGTTAGAAGCTCAAAATCTTTGTTTTTGCCAGAGACTATTAGAACAATTCTTAGACTTAAGTCAGGGGAGATGCATGTGCCAGTGGTAGGAAAGTGGAAGGGGACATTTATCACCATGTGATTAATTATGGTTAGAAAAAGCTGATCCTTAATAAAAATGCATTTGTACTTAGAAAGAACAAGAATATATATGTACAATTCAATTCAAAATATAAAGTTACTATTTTTTTCACCAAACAAAAGGGCATAAAGTTTGAAAAGTACTATTTTTGAGATCAGACTAGTTGAACATATATAATGTTATTCTTTTTTTAAAAATAATCTTTTTCTGATAATGCATATTAATAAAGTAAAAGCCTATATTAAAAGATCTTTTGTACTATCTGTAGTTCTTAAAAAGGATCCTTGAACTATTTTTTAAACTCTTATGACCTTTCCTTTAAATTCTGTTCTGCTCTTAAACTTCTTTTTACAGTCTTTAAGTAGTAAAAACTGTTTACATCCTGAATTTTCATTATGTAGAATACAATATTCTTGATGTAAAGTAGATATTTGCCCTAGTTTGTAATAGTCCTAAATATAGATATTTCTTTTTTTTTCAGATATTTTTAATTAAAACATTTTTATAAAGTTAGCTTATTTGATATATATGTAAATATTTATTTTTTTTATAAAAGTGCATCTTTATGACTTTCAAATTTGAGACAGAATGTTGTCTTTTGTTCTAAGTGGGTTGCAGTCTTAAATTATTATTCACACCTTAACATTTATTTATAGGTGGAAAAGGGATAGAAGTGGAAATAAAATGGCCACTGCTTCTGGGAAAAACATCTTACAGTTTGTTGCTATAAAAAGGAAAGACTGTGGCGAATGGGCAATCCCTGGGGTAAGTATTAAAATTAAATTAACATTTAAAGTTCTTTTTAGTTATTTTTTTAATACAGGAGTTTTGTGTGTGAGTCATTTCTACCCCATTTTCTACTTCCATTTTCTTCTCACTTTAATTTGTAATTTTTCTGTCATTCTTCGTTGGCAGTGAAATGTCATAAATTAGAGTGTAGGATAGTACAACAAGACTAAGAATCTGGCGTTTTCTGAAACCCTTAGGAAATAACATGGACTTTGGAGTTAGACCTAGTTTATATCCTGGCCTTTCCTCTTTGAGCTGAGTGATGTGAAATTAGACCCTCGTTTTAAAATAAAGACAGTATCTACTTCAGAGGATCACTAGTGGCCATATATAAAGCACCCAGTGTGCAGTAAAAAATGTTGAGGCCTACCCATCTCAGAACTCAGTCCCTATTTCAAGCCCAAAGAAAGATTTTTAGCATTTTTTTGTTGAATGATGATAACTGTGGACATAAAAAAGATAACTTTTATTATTTACTGTTCCTTACAATTTTTAAAATTTCCATGGTAGCATCAGGAAGAGAGTACTTTACTTCAGTCCATGCCATTGATGTGTTTGAAGTGGCTTTTTAAAGCGTGTATGTCTATGGTGGAGGTATTCTATTTCATGTAATATTGTGAAGTGGAGATAGTTTGATGGGAGGATGATTTTATATGCATACTACTACCAGCAAGAACAGGATTTTGTTGTAGGGTAAAAATGGAATAGAGGTAAAGATTTCAGCTTACTATAATAAAAATTGATTGCTATCTACAAGCCAAACAGCTAAACTGCCTAATGCTGAGCGCAAAAAAGCAGTAATGGTTCTATCTCAGGATCTTGTATTTTTTTCTCATTTGAAATTCTAATCAGGGAACTGTTTGTCACTGATACCATTTCAAGAACTATTCATCTAATCAATGTATTTTGAATATCTCTATTTTTTTCCACTAATAATTTAGACTTGCAGGATACAAAAAGCAATATAAGTCAGAATCCCTTTTCCTCTTGGTGCTCATATTCTAGTAGAGGGTTGCAGATATTATAAAAACAATTGGTTATTGTATACTAGAAAATGATACCATATTAAGAAAAAAATTAAAGCATGGTAGGAGACTAGGAAGTGTGTGAGTTTCATTAGACCAGTAGTCCCCGAGAAAGTGTTAGTAAATAGCTGAACCTTGTAGTTAGAAAATGAACTTTGTCCCATCTGGAGAAGAGCATCTTGGGCAGAGAGAATAGCAGGTACAAAGAATCATCCTAGGAAGATTGAGGAGATCAGTGTGGCTGGAATGGAATGAACAGTGGGGGAAGTGTTAGCATACTATATCTTTTTTCTGCCTTCTGGCCTCTCTTACTTTAGTTGAGTTTAGAAAATACCAGGAAATGAGTCTGATTGACTTAATTTGCCATAAGCTGACCTTGCACCAATGATTGTGGTTAAATAACTGAGGTACTGTAAAAGACTGTTTCTACTGGAAACAAGTGGTTGTGACAAGATCATATTATGGATATAAAATAATGATTGTCCATTACATCATTTTCATTACATGTTTATTGACTGGTTTAATAGCTTATTACTTAAAAAAAATATATATGACTCTTAGGGGATGGTGGATCCAGGAGAAAAGATTAGTGCTACCTTAAAAAGAGAATTTTGTGAAGAAGCCTTCAATTCCTTACAAAAATCCAGTGCTGAAAAGAGAGAATTAGAGAAGCAGTTGCACGAACTCTTCAACCAGGAACATCTAGTGGTAAGAAATGATGGTTTGGATTTGGTCCTGTGGGTTAATAAAAATTACTCAAAGTTCATCTGAAATTTTGGTAGATATTTTTCAAATAAAATGAAGTATGTACATATTTAAAATACATATTAATCAAAACAACTTAGATTTTCATTGTAAATAGATTTCTACTTAAATTTTATAACTCA